TGGGGCCTGTGTCTGAGAGGAACGGTATGAGATGGAAACTGCAAGAGTGCCCCAAAGTGAGCAGCCCGGGAGGAACATTTGGAAGCCCAGTGAGGGAGGTGTAAGATCAGGGCAGGTAGGCCTGCACTGGTCCTGGGGTATGACCTAAAACTACACCCTGCTGGGGTAGGATGGTGTGGTGGGGCTGCTTATGGTGAGGCAGTCCTCAGGAAATGCCACATTAGTGCTACCCTAGTGAAAGGTGAATATGGGGCACTGGAAAGCCTCAGCACCCACTGCTTTGTGGGTGACCCTGTGGAGGGGAAAGACTAGGGGTGCACACCCTGAGAGAAAAGCAACAGGCTTGGGCAACAACAGGCTTGGAGGCCATGAGGGCCCAAAGCCTGAGAGAAAGAGGCTTGAGCAACAACAAGGAGGCCAGGAGGGCCTGAGGCTCAGTGACTGAGAGTGAGGCTTGGGTGACAACACAAGGGCCAAAAGGGCCTGAGGCCCAAGGCCTAAATGAGAGTGGGGCCTAGTGGCAGGCCTGAAGGCAAGTGAGGTCCAGGTATGTTGACTGAGGCCTGAGCAGGCCGTAGGCTGAGAGTGGGGTCCAGGCACATTGGCAGACACCTGAGGCCGACAGGGCGTAAGGCCCCACAGTCCCAGTGAGGGGGCATGAGTTGAAGCCATAATGAGACCCAGCTAAGGGGCCAGGGGAGTCCTAGTGGATTTGGATGCCATCAGCAAAGCATGGGACACAGTAAAGGGGAGGTTGGAGCTGTGTATTATGCCCTTGGCATCACGGCATTAAATGGGCAGCCTCCTATATTTTTTCCATCTGTATATTTAATACATCAAGGCATGGCAGGAAAGTGGGGGCAGACTGCCCTAGACAGGTGGGCAGGCTGACATTGTGACTGGCCCCAGGGATGGCCCTCTGTCACAATTGGGAATGAAAAAGCAGTTAGTCCAGCCAGTCAAGGAACCCAATACAGGTTTGTGGCTCCAGCCACCGATAGCACATCCCCCTAAAATGTAATTCAATGATGGCCCAATTTCTGGGATATACACAAGGTAAGGTAGAGACAAATCAGTCCCTGTATAGCCAATGGAACTATTTATTATTTACTTGGTTCCTCTGCTATAATAAAAATGGTGAAACATATTAGATGAAAATAAAGCAATACAGATTAAGTTTATTTTGTCATTAAGAGAGAATACTACCTGGGAATGAAAACATTTTCATTATACAAGTACTATCTACATATACAACATAAATAATTAGATAACAGGAGAAAATTCTAGAACAGTTAATTTTAAGAGGCTCAGTTCTGAAAAGAAGAATGGTAAAAGAATAATTGATAAATATTGGAGGTATCAAAAATCTATTAGACAGTAAAACCATAGACATTATTTTACAGAAAAATGTTATTCTTTATTATTAAAAAGTAGGCAGAACACTGTCTTATGCTTTACAGTGCAGTACTATTGTTGAAATGATAGTGTTACCATAGTAACAAGGTCTTCAGTAGTCATTATATATAGCTCCCTTTTTGACAGCGGATTAAGAGATCTCTCTTTCAAATATGTACTGGTATTTAGCATGCACTACAAGAAAGCACTGTTTCCTATATCATTTCAGTGAAGCAAAACAAGAAAGCAAAACCACACTATGCTGAACTGATAGATGATGCACACTTGTTTATCATGTTTTCAGAAGCAAGACTGCTATTTTAGCTATTCTGCCAACATTAAAAATATGCCCTATAGTTAGCCTCATTATCAGATAGCGATCAAACAAGACAGATAAGTAGCTCTGTGTGGTACCACTGAATCATTCACGCTAACATCTTCCAAGTGTACGAATGTACTTCATATACACACATTCTGAAGAGTGTGCAAACAATCCTAATGAATAAGAAATTATGATGTTCACGTAAAGTCCCTCCCCTCTAAGAGGTGAATCTCATATAAAACGGAGAATACCATTCTTTTAAAGATGGGTAAACCCATAAAGGATGTACATAGGATTCATACACTTCCTGCTAGTATAGCTTTACAAACACAGTTACCACCAAACAGACACACACATATATACTGAATCTTCTGGTTTGTCGTAACGTTAATTATCACACAAAGTGCAGTACAGAGTACTGGTCTATTTATTCATCTGTTTTCTCGAACAGCTTATTAGTATTTCTATTTACTGGATAGTTTCCCTTTTTTATTCTTCCCCTTTTGTTTTTCCAACTTTGGCTTTTGAAATAATTGTCTTAATAAGCTCTGAAATATCTATAATAAATTGCCAACATTTTCTAACTTTCAATTAAAACAAATTTTAATTTGACTGTCCATTACATGAAAAACATCAGGCAAAAAAGCAGAATCATCACATCTTAAAGCTTATAATTTTTTTAATACATCGATGCAGCCCATTAAGAATGAAATATAATTTTTAGGCTCCCTCTACAAATTACAGGTATCACACAATTAACTGGTTAATTGCACATTTAACTTAAGACCAGCTTCATGTACAAAATACTTATCACACAATAAAATGCTCCAATCATTTATAAAGCTAAACTTTGAAAATGTGTACTACTTTGACAGCTGGCTGCTTTCGAGCTTTAAATTTACACCTGCAGATGGGAACTCCATCAGCTGACAGGGCTCCTAGCCACACAGAGTACATCATGCTCAGCATGAAACCCCAAAGCCCTGAGGATTGTGGCTGCTGCGATCCTGAAGGCTAGTGGGGGTGCCTGGGGGATCACAACTGCTATGATCCCAGGTCTGGGGGTTTCAGATACCCCCTGAACCTTGAGGATTGTGGCTGCCATGATCCCTTGGGTCTAGGGGTTTCACGCACCCTCGCTTTGTGGATCATAGCTGCTGCGATTCCCAGAGCTCAGAGGTTCATAGATTCATAGATTATAGAGTCGGAAGGGACCCAGAGGATCACTGTGTCTGACCCTCTGCCCCTGGCAGAAAGAGGACCGAGGTCAGACGACCCCAGCCAGGTGATTGTCAAGCCTCCTCTTGAAGACCTCCAAGTTAGGTGATAGTACCACCTCTCATGGAAGCCCATTCCAGAATCTGGCCATCCTTACCATAAAAATTTCTTCCTAATTTCCATGCACTTCTAAGTCTCAAGGACTGCGGCTGCTCTGATCCCCCAACCCCAGGATTTTTCTTCTTGCTGGTGCATGTACAGCATGACTGTGTGGAACATGCATTAGATCCCATCACACCTTTACCTGCACACGTAGAGGGGACCCGAGTCCTGCATTATTTTAGAGAAGATTGTGCCATTGAGACAGTAGATTACTTTGGGGACATTTGTCAGATGCCTCACTTTGTGAAGACCTCTGGGACCATCTGGGCCTTAGGAAATATGATCGTTCCCCCAGTGCGTCAGTAAATCCATTGAACTTCCCTTTTACTATTGGCTTACTGCATAGACAGTTATGACCACACCCTTCTCTCCTCATGGGATCACAGAAAAGTCGGGCTGGAAGAGACCTCAGGAAGTCATCTAGTCCAAACTTCTGCTCAAGGCAGGATCATCACCATCTAGACCGCCCTCTACAAGTGGGTGCCTAATTCTTAAAACTGCATGAAAAAATCTCTTGCTCATCTACCACACACAATGCCCAAAAACACTAAGAATGTTTTATCTCACTTTAGGTAAAGCAGGGCCATGAAGACACTATTAATGTTCTTCAACTGCTGCTTGTTAAAATACACTTGATAGATCTGAAAATAAGGATCATACACCCATTGCAGAGGAAGATAAAACCATCATGTGTCCATGTTGATCTGACAGTAGTATACACTTCTTTCTGACCCTAAATCTTGTGATTGGTCTGACCCTGAACAGAAGACCCATTAACAAGGAACATCAACATACTCCAGTTGATAACTCTAGTGTTGACTGTAGCTAACATCCAATGCTTCTGAGGAATACGGAAAAAAACAAACTCTGACACTTGTATCAGCAGAGGGGAAAACTTCCTTCCTGGATTCACGTGGCAACCAGCAAAGGCTAGAAACACAGGAAAACAAAACAGTCTGCACAGCAACCTAGCGACCACAAGTGCAAACCCATACATCCTAACTAGAGAGCCAGAACTCCCCTTTCCCTTATTGCGTCCCCTCCATAAATTTCTCAACTCCTTAATCTTCTTTCATAACAAAAGCAGCTGTGAAGGTCTGCTTTATTCTCCTGCTGCTGACCATGGCCCTCTTCAATAAGGCAGAGCTCTAATTTGGATGTTCAGTCAACATGCATGTGGTCTTCATAGCACACTCCATGCATTGCTACTCCTAGATCACCTCTGACCAATGCCTGTCTGACATCTTGAAAACCATTACTGAAGGAGATTCCACAACTTCTCTAGACAGTCTACCCTACTGACGTACTTACAACAGCAAAGAAGTTTTTCCTGATAGCCAATCTAAATATGCTGTACCCACCCTGTAGATATCTTTTTATCACCTGCATATTGTGAGAATGCAGCCCTGTAAAGCACAGGACTGCTACTGTGAATAGTACTTGTTCAGGAGAGGCAATGAAAGGAAGGACTATATTTGCATCAAGCACATTGCCTATTACTGCAATGGTTTCCAAATGAATGGATGATTTTTCCCCACGTGTAAAATGTTTTGATTCAAGAGGAAAGCTGCAAAATCTCCGAGGGGGTAATATTGCATATTTAGCTGTAATTCTCAATTCTTCGTCTATATTTTTTTCATAGCCCTGCACCTGTGTCTGCATCCCTTCTCTTTCCTTCTATCACCCAGGCTCTGATCTCAATCAAAACTGAACGCTAGGCTTCCCTCTACTTTTCACTGTATTTTCTCATTAGTAACATGTATACTATTTAAAATATATTCCAATTATCCAAAGAAACAAATCCCAGGGTCTAGTTCTCTACTCATGCAAATACACACAAAAGATAAAATACATGTACTTTATAAAATTCATTCAGTGGTGCTCAAAATGATAAAATACTCACACTTGTGAACTAAATGTAACTGCCCGTATCATCACAATGACCAAGATGACAATTGTTAATATCAGAGATATAAGAGATATCTGCAAGTAAACCAAATATGGTATCAGCTGGATGGTCAGAAATTAAATATTCAAATATCTATTTCTAAATCATAATTTCTCTCAAAAAAGGAAACAAATAGTTTCTTTAAAACAACTGATATTGCAATGGATTTATTTATTTTTTTATAAAAAAGATACATTCATAGCCTTTTTCTTTTATTTCAGTCATCCTCTTTCTATGGCTCTATGGTGGAGATAGAGGTTTACTCCACTGTAACTACCAAGAGCGTAGATGTCAGAGATGCTTTCCACTCACTTCATTTGAAATTGCAGATAATCAGTATCTCTTTCAGTTAGGCTCACAGTATCTGCCACTAAAAATAAAAGTTTACTTTTCTTCCTAACAGTACAAAGAACATACAATTATGTAGGTGCAATAATCTTTTTTATTTCTTAGTAGAGACCAATATTTTGAATTGCAGCCTATTTATCCCTACACTCCTGTATTTTGAGGATGCAGCTTGATTAGTCCCTGTGAGCATCAATGTTTTATTCTATTACTTGGAGGTCATGTAACATGAGATAATCTAAATGTACAAAGTATAAAATAGATTTTACCCGGAAGTCATTGAATAATAATACATGAAGTTGATAGAGCTATATCTGCCTATGTCAGGTCTGAGTTGGGCTTTATCTCATTCTGGCCACGTGAGATGCTTCAACACCTTTTATATTCATGGTGTTATAAAGTGTACATTTGAGAAGGTGTTTAGCAGATAAGTCTTGAATTTTAAATTCTTATTATCATGGACATATGGATTTGCCTGTAGAGATAAGACTGCATAGCTGGGGTAAAAGTTTGCTTGGATTGCTTACTATTTTCCACCACCATCACCGTATAAATTACGTGATCTTCATTTTTAGGGAATGTGATACAAGATTCAGGGACTGAAGCTGCCATCTTTGGTAGAAAGAGACTTTTTGCATCAGTATTTGAGCCAACTCCTCCTCACAAAATTCATGCTGATTCATTCAAGTGACAGCCATTATTAATGAGAGTGGGGCTCTGCTCAATACTCTAATCAAGGTATCTGAAATGTTTTGCTCAGTCTTTATCAAAGAAAATTAGTTCAGCACAAGCTATCCACGCACATAAAGAGCATAAAAAAAATACAACTGAATATGAATTGGATTTCAAAGAGAATTGCAGAAAATTATTAATATTCAAAATAACACCCTGTTAAGCAAAAGTAACAGAATTTGTTTTTAATACCTCTAAATACTTTGCAATTTAAGCAATTCAAGTCATCCAAGAAAAAAAAATGGCTTATAATATTCACAACGAGATGGTACCCAAATATGGGGAAAACTTACCTAATTAATTTAATATAATTTTCTACATTTATGAAGGTCATAATTATATTACACTATGTAGTGTTGTAAATTGCTTTAACCACCTAACCCTTAACGATTTAATTCTATCAGCTGCAGTCTCTAGAACTTACTTTCCATTTTTTACCCTGAGAGATTGTGCATTCTCTCTCTCTGGAAGTTTTTAAGAACAGGTTAGGAAAACATTATTCTGGGATGTTTTAGATAAGGGTTGATAAAGGGTTGGACTACAGAAGTGGTCACCAGCCCGGGAATTGCAATCGACCTGGTCAATCCGAGCCTCTTTAGGTTGATCCTGGGCTGAGGGGACAGCTGGGTGCATGCACACAACCACTGCCCTCAGCCCCAGTGGGTCAATCTGGGAGGGGTGGGAAGGGGGCCACAGAGGCCCCCATAGAGAGGGAATGACCTGCGGCTCAGCCAGGAGCAGGGGAAGGTAAGTAGGGCCCCAGTCTCATTGGTATTGGAAGGATTGGAACCCCAGGAGGGCTCCTCCGGGACACGGGGTGCTCCCTCCCCATCTCTGTGAGGGCAGAGGTGGCAAAGGCGGCTGCTGCTGCGCCTCAAGGCTCACTGCAGCTGGCCACATGCGGCTAGGCTCAGCAGTGGGGACTCATGTGGTGTTGGGGCCCGACCTGGCAGGGTCTGGGACTCTCCACTGCTGAAGGGTGCAGCCTGTCAGGGGCTTGTCCCCCCCGTCCCTCCCATCTGTGCCCTGAAACAAAGTGGCTGCTGCTGCAGGCTGCCTGCTGCGCCTGGAGCACAGAGAGGGAGGGTGCATGGGCCTCAGGAGCACAGGAGGCAGGGGTTATGGGTCCCTGAGGCTTCTACTGGGCTGCGTCCAGCAAAAGGAGCCCCACACCCCTGGGTGGTGGAGTCCCAGACCCAGCCAGACTGGGGCCTGATGCCACATTCTTTTGGCTGCCAGGTGGGCGCAGCTCAGCCCAGTGATGGCAGAGAACTGGGGTTGGGCTCCAGCCCAGCTCGGTCTGGGACTGTCTGCCACCCAGGGACACATGGTGGGGGGCTCCTGCCACTGGGTGCAGCCTGGGGGAGGCCTTGGGAGGCTGTGCCCCCACCCCCCCCCCGTGCTTCAG